GGCGGAGAGGGTTAACACATTAGTGGGCATTGCATTTTTCAAGAAGCCAGTTGATAATGCTCTTAGGTTTGACAGTTGAGACAAATGATTAAGGATCGGTGGCCTCTGTGGAGTAAGCTAAAACCCATTGCAGAACATCACCAAAACCATGAAGCCCCTCAGTGTCACCACACTGCACAGGCTTTTCCAACAGGCCCGGTCTTCCCAGACAGGTCTGTCTCAAGGCTTTATTTGGGATGACACTGCTAGCAGAGATGTGCCTAAAGCATTTTATTCTCAGCAGTTGAAATGATGCTTTTGCTGGTTTTTCTTTAATTTTTGCCATGTTTTTTTCATATGTGTGTTTGTACACACACATACTACCTGTGGAGGCCACAGGAGGACTTGCCGGACTTGGTTCTCTCCTTCCATCACGTGGCTCTCAGGGATGGAACTCCAGCCCTCAGGTTTAGCACCTTTACCATGTCGCTGGCCCTGGTGTTCCTTTATACTAAGCATTATTGTACTTAGGCAACTTTGGCAGTTTATACGACTAGATGCAGGTATCTACAGGTGTTTTCATTCTTCCCTCATCATGATAGTGTTAAAGCCTTGAAAAGGAGCTCAGGATATATATCAAGTGCCAGATTAAAAAAAAAAAGTCCAGGTAAACAGAACACTCTAATATTTAATCACAAACTGAAAGCCTGTAACTATAGGGAAAATCCAGACTCCCTGTGATACTGACCTCTAGAAATGTGAAGGCAAGGCGCCACAGCCACGGGCTTTCTGGCTTTGCTACGCTGGTAGCATCAGTCAGAAATTGAATTTAGAATGGCAGGGAGAGCCCAAGATGCAATTACTGCAGTAATGGGGAAAAAGCAGAGGCACATTGTTTCAAGCTATTTTTGCCTTTTTCATTGGAAATGCAGCAGGCATTTGTGTATGGCAAAGCAAAGAAAACAATAATAACCAGATGGTAAAGGTCCAATGAGAAGCTCTTGTTACTCCTAGCTGCTGTTAAATAAGTAATCACTGAATGATTGACATGTAGCTGGAGCTGCCTACAGAAGCCGGCAATCCCGGGATGCACACACTGTGTGCACTTGGGTGCATCTGTCCTCTTTAGGGGTGAGGTTGGAGATGTCCAGGTTTTGTACCTCATGTTTGGTACAGTCAGGTGTAATATTTCCTGATGTTTATTAGTGCACATGAGAAGCTTGGAGAGGAAGACGGAGGGAAGGGAGTTTATGGATATTACCAGTTAAACAGAATTAAAAGGTTTTTTTTTTGTTTTTTTGGTGAGAGGGTTGTTTGTTTTTTAGCAGTTTTTGCCTGTTACCTGGGTTATGATAAATAAAACAGTCATTTTGTATTAGTTTGTTTTCCCATATTCAAAATTATTTGATCAGTCAGGGTATGCAGTAATAACAAGCAATTCTAGATACCAGATATCTTACTAGGAGCTCAAGGAGGTAGGGGTGTGTGTATGTGTATGTGTGTTCACATACCTCATCTAGACCCAAGTTTATTAGCCACATCTCATCTGGAATGTTGAGATTCACCATTATCCGGAGAAGGCCGAGGTAAATCCTACAAGAGTTCTTTAATGACAAAATGGCGTGTATTCCCCCATCTCATTGGCCAAAACAAGTTCCAAGGGCCTACATGAGCTTCAAGGGGGAAGGAAAGCACAGCCGCACTTTGTACACAGAGTCAACAGTACACAAAGCATTGGTGAAGGCCCTGCTGGCCATTGCAGTAGGGTTGCTAGTATTTTTTTGTTTTTGTTTTTGTTTTTAACAAGACAGGGTTTCTCTGTATTGTTTCGGAGGCTATCGGTCCAGCCCGGCCTCAAACTCACAGAGATCCGCCTGCCTCTGCCTCCCGAGTGCTGGGATTAAAGGCAGGTTGCTAGTATTTATCTTCCAGTAGAGCCCCACAGACACTAACTGTGGGAAAGACAGAGACACCGTTTGAAAAAGAGTTATGTGAATGGATTTATGAAAACCTGAGTGGATCTTTCGATGGTATAAAAATATATATAAATGAACAACTGAAAAATTGAAAATCATTTTGAAACTTGTTTTTCAAACAAATGAAAATGAGCATACAATGTATTGAAGCTTTTGGGGGCATAGAGAAAACAGCGTTAAATAGAATGCTTATGATAAGTTATGCCTATATTTTAAAAAGGGAAATCTCAAACCTCTCACTGCATCTCAGGATGCTAAAAAAGCCAGAACAAACTGAACCTAAAGTTAGAAGGAAAGAAATAAGATCACGCCAGAAATAAGTGAACCTGAACGTAAGAATACACAAAGGACCCTTGAGACAAAGAGCTGACTCTCGAAAGCTAAACCAGACGGCTGGCTAGACTAACAAATAAAAAAGTAAAAAAAAAAAAAATCAGAGATAAAGGAGAGACCGCATTCTGAGTTGTCGATTGTAATCAATCACCTCAGATGATCGTGAACAACTAGGTGATTTAACAACCTGGAAGACTCCTGGATGGCCGTGCCGCACAGGGGCTGAAGCAGCAGGCTACACCTTTTCTCCCCACCTGCTTGTGTCCGTGTTTCTTATTCTCAGAAAACTCCAGGACTCCTCTAGTCCATTTGACTACAGTGACCACAGGTCCCGTCAAAGCTCTTGTCACAGCTCCTTCCCCCGAGGGCCACACAGTCTCTTAGACATTTGGGGCAACCCAGAGATATCTGGTCCTTGTGAAAGGAACCGCTAAATTGAAGAGGCTTCCTAGTGCTTTAGAAAAGCGCGCTTAGGGGAACATGAGGGTTGTGAGCTGAACATCTTTGCCCTCAGCTAGAAGGGTTGTTTCCCCTGACTGTCCTCCTTTTAGCTGCAAGTGCTGTCCCTGACTGAGTTTAGGCTTCCTGTAGTCTATCCCTCCTGCACAGCCCCCCAGGCAGACTTTTCAGCCAGCACCAGGGGCAAAGGTGATTCAGTACCACATGTCACACTCTCCCTCTCCATCTGGTATCTCCGAATCCCCACTGTCCCCACTGGATCTTTGTTCAGAGTGGGCCGAGCAGGCTGCGGGAATACCTGTATTGTCTTGTGCTGGCATCCAAGTCACTTCCGTGCCCTTTCCTCATCTAAACTCCAAACCTCTTCATTGTCGATGGGGTTCTGCAGTCTCTGCCCGGCCTAGGTGGTGAGAGTGGCCTGCTGTTCCGTAAAGACTGAGGAAAAGGGAGAACGAGGGAGGGATGGTGGGAGCATGGCAGCTCATTCAGCATGTGTGGGGAACATCGCACAGAAAACTCTGTCTAGCAAATTGGATGTTGAAAGCCAGCATGTGGCAGCATTCAAAGCAGAGACTGGCACCGTCCCGCCATCATTTTCTGCTCAATCTTCACGAGAGTGAGTATTCTATGGGTGTGTGAATACACCACACACTATTTGGGGGTGGAGCTAAAGAGCAGCAGCAAGAGCTCATGATGCCCCCTTGGGAACCAAGAGGAACAGTAGTCTACCTGTAGATGTTTCAGAGAAAGACAGAAGCTGTGGATTCAGCCACCAAATCTGGCTTTGACATAATAACATTTTGTGGACTTCTCTTCTAAAGATAGTGGATTGTGGATGGAAAAGTTCTAAAATGCACCGAAAGAGATTGCTTTGCTTAGGAAAGTTTCCACTTAGGCGTGGCTTTCTTGGGTGCTAGGGATTAAACCCAGAGTCACTGAACAATGTCTCCAGCCTCTTAGAAGTGGCCATGCCCTTCCCTCTGGACCCACTGACTCCAGTGGCTTCACTTGAAGTGGAGGTTATCGTGGAACACAGTCATTTACATCAGTGTTCTTCTGAAAGCAGCTCTCCTGTGAAGGTCTATGGTAGCTTCCAAAGACCTTGCTTGCCCACCAGAGTGTTTCCAGACTTCTGAGGGTCCCCGGGTCCCTGCCCTGGGTGATAGCATTGGAAATGTAGCAGACTTGGGGAGGGAGGGTGTAGGAGGTAGTGGGTGAGAAGCCTTACCTTACCCTTTCCCTGCCATGGGCCTGAAAATGTACACCTGCAGAGTTGACTGGAGAACACATATGGCTCTTGGCATTCGGAAAACCATGGTGAAAGTAAAATTAAAATTTCCCTGCTGGACAGGAAATTAATAACTGCTGAGTGGAGCAGACAAGGCCAGAGCTTGTTCCATCACTTAGGATGTTTTGTTATGTAAATGAGATCAGCTGCCACTGCCTAAGGGGAATTGAGGAGGGCAGAGAGAACTAACTGGGGACTGGTTCCTTATGGTTTAAATTCCCTCTGCAAATGTATTTTCATAGCATGCACTGATTCTTTACTCCATCAGGACATAGACACAGGGAAGCTTCCAGGCCTCTTTTGTCATTATTTCTATAAAGTAGCCTTCATGGCTGCGACACATTGCCATTTACTCATTTCATAACACTTCTAGATCACCCACAGTGAGCTGGGCCATATGCCACCAGGGCGGGGGAGGTGGCTAGGGATATATAATGGGATATCTAGTGTCTGCCTTCTGGGAGTTTATAGTTTGGAAGAAGGATATTGGATAGCACAAATGAGTCCCCCCACCCCCACCAAAACACCCGTTATGCCACTTAGTGCTTGGGGTTGAAAAGTAACTGAATTGTACGATGGAAAATGAAAACTGGTGGAGGGAAGTGAGGGACTGCCCTTCAAGACTGTGGATGTGTCAGCTCTGCAGACTTAGGTGCATTACTTACAGGCATTTACTCAAGATTCAGAATCTGATGGCCTCATGTCCGTTAGGTTAAGTTCTTGGTTAGAAGCGAACAGGGACTCTGCAGAGATGGAATGAAGGAGTATTAGAAAGGCAAAACCCTGTCTCCTCCCGAGGCACTGTAAAATTTAATTGGGGCTGCAAGGGTTAGTGTGAGGTTGCATCAGGTGAGTATCTTATTTGGGGCATGCCAGCGTTGAAGCCATAATATGCAGAATCATTCTTCACAAGGTACATCGACACATCCACATGTCCGTCTTCTGCCCTGTGTTCTTGGTCCTAGTGTGAGCAGTCACACCTCATGAGAGAGCATGAAGACGTCCAGGAGCGCACGACACTTCGCTATGAGGAGCGCATCACAGAACTCCACAGCATCATTGCAGAGCTCAACAAGAAGATAGACCGCCTGCAAGGCACCACCATCAGGTATGGCTGCTCCATCCAGCTCTGCTTGTCCTGGGTGTGCTGGAGCTGAAGCACCCCATGAGTCATAGTGTCAGCCATATGCCTTGATCTCTGTTGTCCCCTTTGATTGTGATCCTCACAAGCACCCTGGCAGGTAGACAGGGTGGGAGTTGTGACCCCCAGCTTATTGCTAAGGCTATAGAATCAGCAATCAAGTGAAATGCTTTGTTAATGAGTTTTAGGTGGGTGCCACTCTGTCCTAGACAGAGATCAGTTTGATGTCCTTCCTGCCTCCATTGTTCACCAGGTCTACTCCAGACTTCCTGCCTCCCTTAGGGCTTCTGAGACTCACGGATGTGGCTTACAGCTAAGTGTTATGTGGGATTCTAGATGATCTGTTAATATATTGAGTTTATCCCAAGGTTGTATGTCAATGGTGACACTTATCCTCTTACCAGATACATAAGGCAAGGCTTGACCCATCCCTTCACTGGGAAGAAAGTTTACTGGTGAGAAAGGCAGGTGTAAAAGAAATGCTCATGGAGACCTTACTTTCAGCAGAGACAGATTTGGAGCTGGGACTCGGTTTTGATTAGTTTTCTTTCCCTGAAGATGCCTGTCAAGGTCTCTGCTTCCCTGGCTTATCGGTCCATTTGGCTCCTGAGTCTGCGGCACACAGTGCTCCGCTCCCTGCATCTGCCCTTGGTTCAGGAAGATTGGCTGAGGAGCTCACTGTGATGGAGGGGAGCATCCCATGCAGAGAGATCAGTGGTTAATAGCTGCGTTCCTGGACAAAGGCTGCTGTGTTCACGAGGCATTTGCATGTGCCATAATTGAAGGAATCTCAGAGGCAGCTGCTCTGAATTCTCCCTGGAGAAGTTCTGGCTCACAAAAGACTTTAGATGGATTTTGTTCCAACTCTGAGAGTCGTAGTAATGATGGGGCTTCCTGGTGAGGGTGCTGACGGGCATCTGTTTTCTGGGCAAAACCATGGAAAATTTTACACTGACTTGGAACCACACAATAAATTTCATATTCCGATTTAGAACCTTAAGGTTTTAAAATTGTATCCTGGTCTACACAGTGATTGTGGGGTAGAAATACATGAGCAAAGAAAAGATTTTAGCCCAAAGATATGGTTCTAGTAGATTTTAAAGAGCTCAATGGAGCACATTGGCAAATTGGTGATTTCCATTAAAAATGAGTTATGCTTCTAAAAACTTGAGAAGGTGACAGTGAATGGGTATAGTCAGTTGTGAAATAAGTATAATACATATCAAGGGGACAACTTGATCTCAAGATGTTTAAATTGGAGCCAATGGCCTGACTGTTTCACTTGAATATCCTGTGAGCTGCTTGACCATAAACATGTATTTGTGCTTCTGATGTAAAGGAAGATCGAGTCTGTGCAGATGTCACATTATCGTGTACCTGTTTTCATTATGTAAATAAGCTAGTTCCTCCATGAGGAGACTCCTAGCCAGGCTGTAACATGTGGGCCACAGAGAAAGGTTCTTCCTGGCCTCTGGGCTCCATAGGCCAAGGCGTGGCCCCAGCCTCCAGCACTCCAGGAATTGTATTTGTTCTCTCCCCTGATCTGCTGTGGCAGCCTCAGCTCAGGGACAGCACACGGTGGGTGAATTTTTAACTACTGTGACATAACCCAGATCTGTTTGTATCCTTTTTCTGGTATCCAAGGATAAAGAGGAAAAGTAGAACCAGTGCAGGACTGGAGAGATTGTTCAGCAGTTAAGAGCCCTGGCTGCATTTCCAGAACTTCAATTCCCAGCAACCACATGGTGACTCACAACCATCTATAGTAGGATTTGATGCCCCCACCCCTTCTGGCATAAAGTTGTACACACAGAGCACCCATATACATAATTTTAAAAAATCTTTTTAAAAAAAGTAGTGGAAGGGTTGTATATGTCCTCATCCTCATAGGACTTTGAGCTCTCTTCTTAGTTACGCACCTAAAAACCCACACCAAAAATGTTTGCTTTTCAGCCTTGCAACATCAAGCTCTCCTAGTTGACAAGTGTTAAGGGAACATAAAGAATTTGACAAAGATGCCACAGTTAACCACATGGCCCTTTGCAGTATCCATGCTCTTAGAAACAGAATAATCTTGGTGTCGGTGTCTCACAAAGGAACCTGTGAAGAAAGCAAAGGTAGCTCAGCGAGGCAGCTATTTTTACAAAAAGAATGCATCAGAAGCCAGGCGGGAAGGGTAAGCATGTAGGACGTGAGGAGCACACAGGTAGCAACTGTCTTTCCTCCATTGTCCTGGACTGACCTCATGCTCCTTCAGCACTGGCTACTTTTACAACATTCAAAGCAAAGGAGCCAAAGGGAGGGAGGAAGGGAAGGCACACAAGAGTATTACTGGGTAGAGGTGTGAAAAACATTTGCATAAAGGAGGCCTAAAAGGGAAGAGATAAAAAGATTTGCATAAAAGTCTTCCAAGGTTGGAGAGATAAGAATTAAATCCCTTGTCCTAAATGGGCTGCATACTGTTTGGCAGGAAAGACTAGCATTTGATGTTGCTTAGAATGCCATTGAACTATGAGGAGAACTTAAGCTGTGTTGCCTAGAGTGACAGGGAAAGAAGACATTGCTAGGCTGCTGCCTAGAAATTGTGAGCCATTAGAGTTAACAGGTCAGAGTAAGCTAATACAGGGGTAGGCATTTTAAGAATAAAGATTTCTGTGCTACTTTACTAGGTAAGAAAGACTAATTCTGGGCTGGAGAGGTGGCTTCGTGGTTAAGGGCACTGGTGCTATTGCAGAGCACATGAATCCAATTGCTAGAACCTACATGGTGGTTCATAGCACAAGCAGTCCCAGTTTGGGGACTCCATGGACACAATAAACATACATACCATGTTGCATATACATACCTGCAGGCAAAACACTCAAGCACATAAAAAGAAATAAATCTCTAAAAAAAGAACAACTAAGTCTAACTAAGTGAGCTGCTGCCCAAACCAGAAGAAACAGATTTCCTAGTAGGAAAAAAAGTTTTAATAATGACAGTCCCAGCCTCATGACCAGTAGAGAAGATGGCTAAACCGACATGTTGTTCTGGTTTTGTATAGATGCATTTTGTTTCTGCTCTTGATGTTCTGCTGCTTGTATGTGGTGAAGTAGTAAAACTTGTTAATTGGTGGCTAAGTTTAAACTGTCCAGTCAGGTTTGCCACTGGCTTGAGGAGGTCCCCTGACAGCAGATACAGCAGCGATGACACATGGAGTGGGTCTCCTATTTTGAGGAGCAGCTGAACTCGTTTCATTGACCAGAAGGACAGTTACAGAAGGTTGACACTATTACTGTTGTGGCTGAGAAATTTAACTGATCAACAAGAGGACTTGTTGGGTGGTCATTGAGTGTAGACTGTAGTGACTGTCTCAAGACCCATATTATTCCCTGTTCTGTCTCTATTTCCCCAAAATGAAAGGCATTTTGGGCCCTCTGGCTACTTCCCAGACCCTCTTCCCAGCTGTGTTCAAGAGAGGTTTCAGTCAAGAGATGAAGGGTCTGGGAGGAAGTAGAGGCATTAGTCATCCCCTTTAGGTCATGATAGTGACAGCAGACATGCAATGTAGGTATCTGCCTTGACTGGCCGGACAGAAAGTTCTGGACAGGTATGTGGCAACAGGTGCTTGGTTTCTGGGGAACCAGAGCTGGGGTAGCCAACCTTACAGCCCCTAGTGGCCTCCACTCACCCACCCACCTGTATTCTCCATTCTCGCACCAGCCTTGCAAGTACAGAGCTGCTTGAATGCAATGCTGTCTGCTTGAAATTTTTTCTAATGGATATTTTAAACATACTGGATTATGTGCTGCACAGACACACATGATTTTCTAATCCGTGCTCTTTCACTTCACAGTGTTTTATGAGTGCCTTTGCAAAGATATTTGATTTGGGGAGATTTACTTTTCCTCTGTGTAGCTTTGTAGACCATTCCTGGCCTTGAACTCACAGAGATCTGCTTTCCTTTGCCTCCCAAGTGCTGGGATTAGAGGGGTACACCCGTAGACATGGGGAGATGAGATAGAAAAAATGAAAAAAATGTGACCATAGAACACTTTGGGTCCAAAAAGAAAAGGAGTGATGTCTACGCAAACTGAACATGAGACCTTTTCTTTCCTATAGACGACGACTCTTGTAACACCAACCTTTCCCTGTTAGCCTTCATGGCTCGCTGTTGCTCTCTGCTTTGTTTCTCGTTCACTCCGAGCTCGCTGCTGTCTGCCTGCTTCCCCAGCAGTTTTCCCCAGCCCCATTCTCTACGGACTGAAAGTTGCCTTCCCTCATGTGATCATCACCTGTGTGATGTGTGGAGATGGGTCTGTGGAGGATGCTTTGGGTCAGATGGACTCGTGAGAGTAGGGCTGTCATGGCAGGAACTGCTGTCATAAAAAGAGAGACCAGAGAGTTGGTGTGTGTGATCAGCCTCCCTCCTTCACTGCCGTGTGATGACACAACTGTGCAAGCCAGGCAGAGGACCCCTGCAGAAAGTGACCATGCCAGCTATGCTCTGGGCCTTTCCAGCCCGCACAACTGTGAGATGACACATCTCTGTCGTCTAAGCCACCCAGTCTGCTATATTCTGTTTTGGCAGCTTGAGCAGCATAAGATGCTAATGATTTCTCTCTTTTCCCCAAATCTCCTTCCCTCCCCTTCCTTGTCTTCCTCCTTTCCTTCCCTCCTCCCCTTTTCTCTTTTGCAATACTGGAGACAGAACTCAGAGCCGCACACATGCTATGCACACAGGCTCCCATACCAGCCCAACAACATCTATCTATGTATCTGTGTATCTATGTATCATCTATCTATCTATCTATCTATCTATCTATCTATCTATCTATCTATCTATCTATCTATCTATCTATCTGTTTATTTTGAGTTAGCAACTAGCTCCATAGCCCAAACTGGTTGTCCTAGTTTGCTTTCTGTTGCTGTGATAAACACCAAAAACAACTTGGAAGAAAAGTCTTGTTTCATCTTAAAATTTCACCATTGAGGGAAGCCCGAGTGAGGAGCGCAAGGCGGGACCTTGAAGCAGAAGCTGCAGAGGAGTGCTGCTTGCTGAGTTGCTCATCCTCCTCCCTTCTCCAGGCCCAGGCCCGCTGACACTGACCTCCAACCTGTAAGCCTGTTGTTTTGGCCTCTCCTGGGTAGGTATTAAAGGTGGGCCTCACCATGCTCAGGCACTCATGACTCTCTAGCTGAAAACTCTTAAGTGTCCGTTCTTGTTTTGGGTCCCTTTTTTATAGAATTAGCCCAAAAGTCTCTATTCCTTCTGGATGGTCTCCTTTATGATTGAGAACCCTGTATGTGCAGAACCTTGCCGTCCTCTGGGAGTTCTGTCCTCAACCTTGGGTCACATGAGGTGTCTGTCTAGCTGGTACCTTTCATCTTGACTGACAGCACCTCAAACCACTAAATCCCCATCTCTGTGATTTTTGCATCTGCCCTGAGCCTCGCTGCAGGATGTCTCTCCCTTGGGAGCAAGGCAGTGTCTAATGGACCTGTCTCTTGCGATGTCATCCAACCTCTAGAATTTCAGGGATGCATCACTACCCCACTTTTCTTCCTTTCAGCCCATGTGACAACCATGTGCTGCATCTCAAACAAGGCTCAAGACCTCTTTATCTCCCTGATAAAGTGTGTTGTTCTGGTTAATTGAAGTCCTAAAAGGTGAAATAAAACCCAGAGAGATCCTATTTCTCTCCCCGTGTCTTCCTGTGTGGTGTACATAAGCTCTGCCGAGTACCTGTAAATCCTCCTCTGTGGCTCTTAATCGCAAATCTTAAGATAAGAACAGAATATTGTTCTGGGTGGTAGTGGTGCACATCCTTCACAGGTGGGGGGATCTCTGTGAGTGCAAGGCCATCTAGTTGCAGGACAGCTAGAGCTGCACAGAGAAACCCTGTCTGGAAAAAAAAGGAATATTGAATCTATGGAAGGGTATTCAGTTGCTCACCTGAAAACCACAGATAAGCTTTGCCTTCCTCTTTGCTATATGGGAAATCAGAGACAAGAGTCCAGAAAGCCACAATACCCCAACACCTACCTCCTGCAGTAGATTCTTTTAAGAGAATTCAGAGGAATGCTTTCTTTCCTATGTTTATATTAGCCATTCAGGGAGGTTTGCCTTTCATTGTAAGAAAGATAGAATGTGAATCAATTAAAAAGCTGGAAAAGCTATCAACTCAAGTGGGATGGGTTTCATAGCTACAACTGAATGACAGCCACCAAAACCAATCAGCAATCGCCAAAGCCATCTTCCAATTTGTTTCACTGTCATGGTAATGACGGATATGCATGAAGGTAATTTGTGATGGCATATTTCACAGCATTCTTGAGTAAAAAGAAACTCCAGTTCCAACTCTATAGCAAATGACTACACTTTTATCAACATTTCCCTTTTATGACTAAATAATTTTACCGTGAAGCAAGATGACTTTCTAAAAGCTTCAGTGTGAGATTATTTCATTGCAAAGTAGTTGCATAATGTAAGTCACACCACATATTCAAGTTTTGGATATCCTGTTTTTACCATATCGATTCTGGCTCTTCTGGTCTTTAGGAGTCTTCCATAGTGGTTTTCCTGCCACTTATGGTCATCATGTGACTGTGTGTGTGCACTTCTAGAGCTAACCTCCCTGGGAGACTTTGTTTAATTTAATATTACATCTGAAAGCAAGTGTTAATGATTACAAGCCTAAACAAGTCCCATGAAGCACTTCTGAGATGCTTCTGAGTTCATGGAGCTGAGGACATGTAGAATCCTGTGAGGTGGCCCTTTACACTCCAAGAACACACACTTGAGACTCGGTGATTCCATCTTAGGGACCATCCACTCCACAGATGAAGAGTTTGTCTAAACTTTTATTTCCATGGCTAAATATAGTCACATTGGGGAATTTGTCCATATTTTTTTATCCAATGTATTTGGGGGAGGAGACATCTCTACCTCAAGAAATAGCTACAAGATTACAAGCCACTGTCTAAGGAACAGGAAGGAGGCTTAGTGGGTAAAAGCACTTGCTGCATAAGCCTAACAACCTGAGTTTGGATCCCAGCACCATGTTGGGAAAAAACAATCAAAAGTAAACAAAACAAAAAAACCTGGGTGTGGTCGCTGAACAGATCTGATTGCTGGGGCTTGCTGGTGAGCTCCAGGTTTATCCAGAGACTTTGTCTCAAAACAGTAAAGTGAAGAATAATGATAGACCAGGATAATGGTGTTTGTTCCCCTCTGTACCCCACATTCACATATACACAAAACAGACACCACACAACACACTATTATAGGTAACAGAAACAAGAGGCCAGTGAGGTCATTTTGAGAGGTTCTTAATGAATGGGTCCTCTGTGAGACACCTTCACTGGCAGTGAGTCAAGGCTGCCCAACAGCTTCACCTGCACAGCGCATGATCCAGTCTTGGTGAAGTTGCCATGGACCAGCAGTCTTTGAACTCAATCCACTGCCTCTTGACGGAACCAGTACTCCCAAGGGCAGAGAAACGCCATCATCAGTTTGCATATACTACAGTGCCATCTGGCCAAAGAACCTTGACAGTTTTTCTACCCTTGCCCAATTGAGATTGTATCTTCCTTTCAGGACCTAAGCTGGCCGGGTTGTAAGCCCTATAAATCAGTAGTTCTTGCAGTCTTTGGGAGAGGTCTGGGGCTGCCTGCATCTTCTGTTTTTCAGGCTGAGTTTACCTATTTTAGATCTCACAGTGTGACAAACCTACCCTGATCTTCTCATTAAATAGCTTCCCTACTTATTGATTACTGATTGTGTATGATGTTTTGCTCTAGAATTATTCAAATTCCCAGTGGAGAGGCTTCAGCAGGGATAGGGTGTGCTTGCCATACCCCCTTCCCATCAGGCCACTTCACTCACGTTTCGACGTGAGATGTTGGTTGTATTCACTCCTGTACCATGCCTCCCCAGACTTCCTTTGTTATACTTCTATTTCTGCCATCTGTCTTTTTGGCCTCCCCTCATATAATAATTCTCTTTGGTGACAGCTCTTCTAAACACCTTGCTCCTCACCATGCTCCACACCTCATAGCTTGAAGGCTATGTACGTGCTCTTTCTGTCTCTCAACCTGGAGACACAATCCTTCTGTGTCCACCCACAGCATTTTTCAGGTTAGAGATGGCTGCGGATACGTTTGTCTCCTGGAATATGAAACCTGCCCCCTTGCTGTCTTGTGTTCATTTTGTTACTTCATTGCCTTGAATGGGATCCTTCATGACATGAAAACCCTCCTGGCCCAGATGACATTACCAATGTGATATCCTTCTCCTTGTCACTCACCCCAGAGGGGACATTTCCATCATACTTTCCTTCTCATACCCTCTTTATGAAGTTATTGCTACTAATCCCTGGAAGTAATTTGGTATAAAGCAGATTTGGCAGGGACTATGTGTTCGGAATCTGCCAGGCCAATTTTAAATGCTGACTAAAAGAGCAGCTGACGTATCAACTCACAACAATTAACCTCTAGATCAAAGGTGTCTGATATAATGGGTGCCCTTAATTGTTTCCATGCCTAAACCTAATTATTGGTGACTTCTGTAGATGTCTAAATAATTAACATTCATAGCTTATTAACCTCTATTTTTACTTTCACTGCCATTCTAATCCAGATTGTATAAATCTGGCTTTGTAACTAACTGTTGAAAGTCTTCCTAGTTTTCTGAGTGGTTTTCATATACCTCTTATACAGCAGAGGTCATTCATGAAGCAGACAAATCCCTTATGAGAAAATTGCTTTTTTGAGAGAACCAAGAACTTTAGAGAGAGATTCACATGTATACAATATATATAGATTGATCTCCCCAATTGTCTCTTCTCCATGTCACTCACCATCTTGGTCTACTCAAAACCCAGAACTATAGACTTTGTGCCCTCCATTCCTTCCCTGATTGCTGACAGCTTAAAATAAGTGTTAGACCGGGGAATTCCTTCTCTTCTAAGCTTTCTTCATTGATGACCTCTCCCTCAGACTAAGTAGACACAAGTGAGCTTTCTATGCCCACAATGAAATCCCCTGACGATGTAGTCTTTGGGTTCACTTGCAAAATAGATGTTTCCAAGAAAGTTCTGTTCTTTCCTTTTTGTCCATGTGTGGCACATGTGGCGGTGGTATACGGAGGAGCCGAGGAGGCAGGCACTTTGAGGTGCACACTCCAGTTGTAATCTTTCCTGCTTGCTAATAGCATAACTCGGAGGTTGACTAACCATGAGGGGCTAGACAAGATCATGTGAACACATGGGAGAGGAGAGGAGCAGCTGAGTTTCAGTGTTGTCCTCCATCCGTAAGACAAAGATCAAGGAAACAGGGGGCACTGGATGGAATTGTGTCTTCAATGCATCCTTCTCACCCTTTTCTTTGGGGGGACTGTAAGTGTGGTATTTTTTTAAATACACCAATCTGTCCACCCAGAGGTCTAGTTGGAGCTGGACACAGGAGGTTTCTCAGAGCTCCAGATTATCACCTCCCCTATGTCAGGTTCTAGGAGGGACATCCCCACTGGGTCCCTGGGGATGAGGGTGCCTAAATACAGCTCATCATATTCTTCATTGTTTTGTTCACTGTAACCTCAATGTTAGTAGACTTTGTTCTTTATTACCTCATAATTTGAGGGGGATGAAGAGTTCTAACATCTTTAGGAAATCTTGTAGGGAAATGTTTCTCATAGGCTGACACATAAGTCTAGTTCAGTACATAACTGTAGATGCACAAGGAACGTTGAAGTTTCACACATCACATCATTTTAGATATGGCCATCTGTGTGGCTTGAAAGGAATCCCAGTGCCTGAAGTCTGGGTAAGAAACCCGTTAGTTTCCTTTTGGAATGTCTTTGTTTCTTCCTTCCAAAATCTGTCTTCCAAGGACTCCCTGTGTATCCTCTATCAATAGTGCCAGAATCCAGTTTGGCTTGATGGTGGCCGACTCTCCTCTTTTGCAGGGAGGAAGATGAATACTCAGAACTGCGGTCAGAGCTCAGCCAGAGTCAACAAGAGGTCAACGAGGACTCCAGAAGTGTGGACCAAGACCAGACCTCTGTGTCCATCCCTGAAAACCAGTCCACTATGGTCACTGCTGACATGGGTGAGTCTTCCCAAGCCTCCTGCCAAACAGGATTTTGGCTTCTGGGCTGCAAGAAGAACCTTAGAAGCACAAGGCAGCCCAAGTTCAAATTTAATTACTCAAGGAATTTGGTAAGCAGATGAAAACACATTTGTTTTAATCCTTTGTTCACTACCCTATTGGCCACAATGAACTAAAGAGCAGCGTTAGCATTCTCCTTTGATGAGAATATGATTCAATTGTGTGTCACTTCTTGAAAATTCTAGAAGCAGGAAGTTATGTTGAAATACTGTTGTAGTGTTCCTAGTTAAGTTCCTTCAGGGTTGGGAGAGTTGGAGGAGAAAGGATGGACTGGGTGGCAGGGCTTTGCAGGAGAAGAAGCCAAGAAGGTTTTAGCAACTGTGATGTAAGGAGGAGGAATCTAAAATGTCTTCAACACATTGTTCTAAACGGTAAAGAGAATGAGTATATTGCTTGGTGAGAAATTGGATTGAGAAACCAATTGAGAAGTAGTTAATAATGGTGTTTGTACTCATAGAGAAACTCATGGAGATAACTGATGCATGGTATTTTAAACTTCAGGTTATGCCTATCATTGGGTTTTGGAATTAGATTTATAATTTTTTTAGAAATAAAAGCAAACAGGGAAGCAGTGAAGTGATAATGTTGCTTCATGAACTTTGTTTATTGCATGCCAAATAGCATGAAGGTCAGAGTTGGAATGTTGTAAACCTTTGGTTTGCTTTGGAATGCCTGTTGGATTCTTGAGACAGACTGAGGTTTGGCATTGTCTGAGTCAAAGAGAGCTTCTGTGATTGAAGGGTGTGAAGTCAGAAAAGTAAAACATTCCATGTCTTTGGAGATAGATGTCACAGATAGAGAGAGATGTAGGAAGAGCCAGGAGAAGGGTGAAACATGTATTGAGTTGGAAAGCAATTGACTTTTTAAAAAATTGACTATTATTGCATATAAGTTTAATTATGCATCCGTGTAAGTGCTAGGGCATCATGAATCATGGTACCATGGGAATATCAAAGAAATTTGATTCATCTAAGGTTCTAAGAAGTCCTTGGTCTAGAGAGTAGCATGTGAACTAAGAGCCAGAGAACCTGTGTCAATTAAGCAGGTTAAGGAGGAGATGAAGGTGTTTAGTGAGGATGGGGATATATTCAGAAAGATGAAGAATCATTGTGATGTGAAGATGAAGGCTGGAGAGGTAGTAGGAACCAGAACATTCAGAGTCCTGTAGAACATGTTGGAATCTTTACTCCAAGGAATAAGAAGCTGCCAAAAGATTTAACAGTGTGGGAGATGATCCTACAGTGGCATGAGATGATCAAATGCATTGTAAATCATTCAATAGTGTGGAAAACAAAAAGAGTGTGTTGAGGAAACTAGTTAAGAAACCATTAGAAAAGTCTAGGCAGATCAGATTGTTGCTAGGAATTGGATAGTGACAGTTGAGATGTAGAAAAGAAGATGGGTATAGGAAAGGTAAGAATTGAAAAAGATTTGCTTAAGAACCATGTTTAGTTGGGGTTTCTGTTGTTGTGAGGAGACAGCATGACCATGGAAATTCTTACAAAGGAAAACATTTAATTTGGTGGCTTATAGTTCAGAGGCTCAGTCCATTATCATGGTGGTGTGCAGGCAGTCATGGTGCTGGAGAAGTAGCCAAGTGTCGTACATCTTGACTTACAGGCAATTTAGGAAGTGAACTGATTGACTGGGTATGGCTTGAGCATATGAGACCTCAAAGCCCAACTCCACATTGACACACTTCCTCCAACAAGACCACACCTACTACAACAAGGCTACACCTCCTAATAGTGCCATTTTCTTTGGGGGTCATTTTCTTTCAATCCACCATAAACTGGAAGCAGCATAAAAATGAGATATAAATATGGATGTCTCAGATTTTGGTGTGCACAGTGCATGGGTGGTGAGGCCATTCATCAAATGTTGGAACATGGTGGGAAGGACCAGTGATTTACTCTCAGATAGAGACAGGTAGAGATGTATGCTTTTTGGGAGGCATGAACTGGAGGTGTTAGAGATGCTTAAAAACCCAATAGACATTGAGATTAAGAAGTGGAGCCGGAGTGTCTGGGGTACAGAAAACTTTTTGGGAGACATTAAATTATGATTGGTACAGCAAAAGTTGATGTTCAGATAGTGAAATTGGTTAGAGACTGAGTTTCTGTTAGTAGCATACAGCAGGAATCTGAGGCAGAGGTGCACCTTTCCATTAGTTTCAGAGTAAATTAACAGTTTCAGAAAACACGAGTGTATAAGCATGAGTCCTGTGCTGACTTTGTTGATGTGGTTATGTTTTCCTCCTTATAGAATATTGAAATTGTAGATCCTGTTGTTATGTTGCCTGACTATCCTACTAAACTCTATTTGGCAGTTGTGTGGTGCTTCATCTCCTAGTCTAGAGCCTGGCTTGGGGCATGTGTTAAAAGATCCTATTGGAATGGATGAATGAAGCTATTGACCTGCCTGTCAAAGACGTTGGAAGAAATTAAGGTCAGGTGGATGTTGGTGTTCAGATCTGATGGGGAATCAGTGCTCAGCAGTCTGAAATGTTGAAAAGGCCACATGAGATGGATTTAGCTGCATCAGGCATTGAGAGGTGCACTCTTAAGTGAGAGCAGCTTCAGCCACGCAACAGTGTGCACAAGAATGCGGATACTGCTTCAGGCTTAATAGTTGGAAGGTAAAGTCTGAGGTCTAGGTTCAGGTCTTTGCTTTGTGTCCAGGCTGTCTCCCTCAAATGCATCTGAACCCAGCATCCAGACTTGATGTTGTAACACACACAGTCATCTGCTACCAGCTAACCTTTAGGCAAAAGTCTCTCATGGCTAAATTCATGTCAGTGTTGTAATTGTCTAGACTCAGCAGCTTTTCATTCTATACTCCAAATACAGCCATAGGCAGCCAAACCAAATCCAACAGCCAACAGATCTTTGTCACTGTAGAGGACCAGCCATACTCTGACTCCTACATTTGTTTCTCTCAAATTTCATTTTGTGAAATTACTAGGTGAGCCATAGTCTGACAAAGTCACATAATGAAGTTTGGGAAATGCAGGCACAGACCTACTTCAGTGGGCTCCTCTCCTTGGGGACGTCTCAGTGTGCCTGACATGACACGGCATCTGTTGCACTGATTCCCCAAGGCAGGAGCTCACAGCTGTCTGTCTGCATGATGAGGCATCTCCATTTTCCCTCATCATTCATCCCAGATTATTTCCTCCATCCTGTACCTCACTTGGAAATGTGTGTGAATTGTACTGGCATAATCTTTCCTGGTGGCACCGAGCTCTGTAGGGGCATGGCCTCTGCCAATGGCAGCATGCATTCCCTGCCTACCCAGAAAACTCTTTAGTCATCCTACAAGCTCACTGTGTGCTCTCTTAGGTACTGGGCCAGAAAGGCAGATCCTGCCATCAGATGGCTGCACGCCCACATTCAAACCTCTTAAACCTGGGCTGTCATCCAGACTCCTCACCACGGGGTCCCATGAAGCCCGGAGTCCCTGCCACCACACTCCTTCTCGACTCCTCTCTTTCCCTCAGCCCTGATCACATTCTCTGTCTCTTACAGTCCCTCCAACCTGAGCAGACTCTGCCCTCCAGGGTGTGTGTGAGCTGTCTCTTCTCCTGCGAGTGCCCCTTGCTACGACACACGTGAAGCTTTCTCCTTATTCTGGTTCCCTTCTCGCGTCTTCAGCATCAGTCCACATGCCGTCACCCCCTTCCTAGCACCTGGCACTGTGGAAAAAAGCTGGGTTTGCTGTTATTTCCTCGCATGTTGCTAGTCATCTCACGTGAGAATGCAGACTGCATAGGGCAGGCATTTTGACGACCTTGTATGCCAATCGAATGATGCCCAAGCACACTTGGGAAATCCAAGCCGCAATGGATGCTATCTATTGGTGCAAGTCTAGGGAGAATGCGGCCAGTTCCCTAGAAGAGACCCACAGCAGGGTCAGGACCTGCAAGGGGGGATCCTGGGAGGAAACTCCCCAGAAGCCATGGCTGAGTGGGGACTTGAGGTTTAAATGGGAGTGGTGAGGTTGAGGGGGAGTTGGGTATGGGAGAGTTTTCAGTTGAGACAACTTGGCAGAGCTTATTAAACTGCAGCACAGAGTAGAGTCAGCGTGTTTGTTGATTGGAACTGGCTGCCTGACTCTTATTCCTTTGCCATTTTCCAATTAAATTGCTTCAATAGGGTAAAAAGCTTCCATATATAGACACCATTATAGGAAATCATTAAAAAGCATCCATTTCATTATGGTTGCTATATTTGTGAACCTGCATTAGGAACCCAGAGCTTTCCTCAAGCTGGATTGTAGATGCACTTTGCTGCAGTACAAAAACAATAGCACTAAGTCATCTGTTTACTTCGTCAAAAAAATTTTTATTTTCTTTTTGCAATCACCACCTGCCAGAGTTCCTGAGCACTATCCTAGGACCAGAGGACCAAACAAGCAACTTAGATTTCAGCTCAGAGTGCCTGACATCTACCTCTGTAGATGTCTCTGCTCCTGCATGCCTCCTTGGACGGTTCAGTGACTGCAGTTGCTGTTGCAGCTTCCTGCTGTCCTTTGAGGTCTCAGCGCTGATGGGGGGAATTATGGGAGCAGCTGCATAATCACAAGCACCTGGCCCAACTGTGCTACGTAATTGAATGAGATTTTGCTGATCTCAGGATGGGAGGAGCACTCGCAGGCCAGATCATGCCGCTGTGCCTCAGGAAAGAGCACGTGTGTGTGTGCACGCGCAGCCTCTCAGCATCACATGAGTCAGAGTGGTGTTCTCTCCAGCAGCCTCTTCTACGGCTTCAGTAATGGAACTATTAAGTCTCGTTTGGAGCCACTCACTGCTGGAAAACTCGGGACCAGATTGGCCTTGTGTGACTAGTGAGGCATGTTGTGGGTTAGGATTTGGAGAACTCTTGAGTTCTAGTGAGAGATGGGTACAGGGCTGGAATTCAGCGCTGTTTACACAGGAAACC